ATTTATTTATTTATTTATTTATTTATTTACTTACTTACTTACTTATTTATTTATTTTAAGTTTATTTATTTTGTGAGAGAGAGAGGGAGAGAGAGAATCCCAGGCAGGCTCCACCTGTCAGCACTGAGCCCCACATGGGGCTCAATCTCACAAACCATGAGATCACGACCTGAGCCAAAATCAAGAGTCAGACACTTAGCCACCATGCACCCCTACATTAATTCATTTAAATCAATAATTCTCTGATGTAGATTATATTATCATCTCCATTTTGCAGATGATGGATCTGAACCTCAGAGAAATTAGCTAACATCCAAAGTAATAAGTACTGGATAAGTCAGGATTCAGATGCAAATGGTCCAACTCCAGGCACCTGCTCTTAACTATTTGCCTCCCTGAGGACAAACAGGGTTCAAACTTCTTGGTTTCCAGGAAAGCAAACACAGTTAGGAGGTACTAAAGAAAAATTTTAGAGTAAATGGAAAATATAACTTCTGATTTCAGAGACTTTTTATGAATTAAAGGTAACTACAAAGGAAATAGAGCACAATGTAAGAATAAATATATTCAAGTGCTGAAGTGTAAAGTTATGAAAGATCAAGACAATAAATTAAGCTCACCAGTAAAACTGAATCATATTTTATTTTATTTTTTTAAAGTTTACTTATTTACTTCGAGAGAAGAGAGAGAGAGATGGGGAGGGGCAGACAGAGAAAGAGAATCCCAAGCAGACTCCATACTGCCAGCACAGAGCCCAATGCAGCGCTTGAACTCATGAGATTCGAGATCATGACCTGAGCCAAAATCTAGAGTTGGACATTTAATGGACTGAGCCACCTAGGTGCCCCAAACTGAATCATATTTTAAAGGAAATATGGGAGTTGAATTGTTCCCATAAACAATATATAGGACATGGAAAGAAAGGAATTGATAGAGTTACAGCAGGGCTGAAGAGCTGGTCATAACTGCCAGGCAGAGGTTTTCTAAAAAGAAAAGTTTTCATACATAAGGTTAGAAGCTGATTAAATGGAATCAGGTATTAAGGACAGAATTCATAGCTTTGGTGCAATAACCATAAATACTCACTTGTGATTTTAATCATGGATACATCACCCAAAAAAGAGTATCTTTTTTTTTCAGGTTTATTTATTTTGAGAGAGAGAGTATGAACAGGAGAGAGGCAGAGGGAGAGGAAGAGAGAGAATTCCAAGCAGGTTCCGTGCTGTCAGCCCGACAAATGGCTTGAACCCATGAACTGTGAGATCATGACCTCAGCCAAAATCCAGAATCAGATACTTGACCAACTGAGCCACCCATGACTCCCCCCTCCAAAAGGAGTATCTTACCACCATTAATCAGAGGTAATATTCTAGAGAGATTCTGCAAAGAGGTCTGAACCACACATAGTATGTGATGAATGTTTCAGATAGTTATACAAGATAAGCATACTCAGACGGAGATTAGCACACAGGATGTTTATTGGAGAACAATCTCCAGAATGACACCTACCTGTAGAGGTAGAGAGAGAAGCAGCATTGGGCATATAGAAAAGCTGGGTTGTGACATTGTCATGACAGAGGTTTCAGCTAATTTTTCAGGAAGCTGTACAGCTAGGATGGCCCTTCTGAATTGTCCTAAGTTGGAGGGAGGTGGCCTGTCATTTACAATTCCCACATCTACCAGTTGTTGGGTACAAACTACCTCCAGGAAGTGATTTTGCTCCTGGATGAGGACAATTTTTAGAAAGGACAGACAAGAGAGCTGTGAGTGGGCGGGACTCCTTGCAAGGAAATAAGTGCTTCTGTTTAGAAAGCAACCTGCTAGTGCATCACAACATGCACAACAAGCAACTAGTTGTAAATTATCCGGATGATTTCTAGTCCTAATCACTTGGTAACCTGGTCATAGTAGGCAAGATTATTAGTGCATGCAATGATGATATTCCCACTGCCAGGAGATCCTGGGACTTAATGGGATGTGTTGTGTCATCTCTACTCCCTCAGTTAAAATGTATCCACCAGTAAAATACAACTTTTGTTGCGTGAAACAATCAAAGCCTACAGTTAGGTGTCATACAAAACTTATTCTGAAGAGTAAGTGAATGACCTATGTCTCAGTCTATATTACAAAACAAGGCCTACAACTTTTCTTGATAATGTGCTGCGTGAAGACATTGATACAGTCTTTTAAGTGGATGTACACCCTGTGAGGATTAAAGAGTATTAGGGAGAATTTTGCCACAGAGTTCCATAACTGGTGATATAGACTTCCTGCCTTTCAACTTACTTGGAGATACACCTGACAAAATTCTTCAACTCAGCACAGTTGACACACATTAAGAGTTAAGAACATACACTCTGAAGGTATAATAAGCTGGATCCTACTTTTTTTTGGTTCCTTATTGGTTGTGTCATCCTGAGAAATTATGCAACATCTCTGTGCCTCATTTTCCCCATTTGCAAATGGGGATAATAATAGTACTTCTCTTGTGGAGATTCTGTGAGCCAAGAGAAGGGAATATACATACAGAATTGGTAACAGATCCTGGCATGTAGTATTAGATACTATTTTTTATTATCATTTGTCATTTTAGATGGAGATGTGTGACACTGTACATAGCCATCATTTATTTACCGAGCACATACTATAAGATTTGTCATATCATAATTGTATTGCATGAATTATTACATTAAAACTTTAGAACAAGCTATTAGGCATTGAGGGTCACATTTTATAGAGGAAGAAACATATTCAAAGAGATTAAATAATGTTTCAGAGATAAAACTACTATCAAATAACAGAATGGAGGGGCGCCTGGGTGGCTCAGTCAGTTATTTGTCCAACTTCAGCTCAGGTTATGATTTCACAGTTCATGGGTTCGAGCCCCATTTCAGGTTCTGAGCTGTCAGCATAGAGCCTGCTTCAGATTCTGTGTCTCCCTCTCTCTCCCTGACCCTCCCCTTCTTGCATTCCCTCTCTCTCTCTCTCTCTCTCTCTCTCTCAAAAATAAATAAACTTAAAAAAAAACAGAATGGAGTTCTAACCCTGATCTGTTTTACAGAAAGCATTTACTTAAACTCTTTCATACTTCTGAGAGAGAATGCTACATCTGAGCATTACTACCAAATTTTGATTTTGTAAATTCAAGGGCTAAAGTAGTAAGTTGAAAGTTTCATCTTCCTCTTCTAACCAGAACATTTAATAATATTATTTAAATTGTTAGCTTATACAATTGAAGATATTGCTAACCTTGGCTTTTTAGAAACAATAAACTAAAATATTATCATGGAAATACCAATAAGACCAAGCACTTCTACTGTACGCTTCCACTGTAGGACTGGAGTGAGGAAGCTGCACAAAATGCCAGAATGTTGTCAACACAGTGCGAATTAAGAGAGAGCAGCGCACCTAGGAGGCGAATTACAAGTAGGTATATGTCTACATGACTCACCTTGGTACTCAGAAGTCTTCGGTGATTGTTAAATAACCTGGCAAGGGTAAGTTAAGTCTTTTGGTATATTATATGGGCCCCATAAATGGCAGTAGATTGTGGCCCACTACACTTTTATTATTATCAATTTTTAAACTTGGATATTTCAAAATTTCAAATTCCAGATTCTGATCATCAGAAACAAGAATCAAAAGTCTCAACATTATAGAATAGTTGAGTAATACAGTGATAACTGGATGGAGAGCTGGATAGCTGGAAGTTGACTATTCTATGTAGTTATTTCAGCTACACACAACAATGCATTAGGGATATCTTTGGCTTTGAAATACTAATACAGATGATAGGTGAGTTATATTCAAGTCGACTGGGCTGTACATGTGAACAAATTTAGGTGCTCAAAAATGAGTCCATCTCATGACATAAATGTCCATTGCTTGTTTCCAGAAAAGCCATTAATACTTCCTACACAAGTAGACATTATTAACATTTTTGAGATACTTGCTTGTTACAAAATATTTCAAAGATACTAATGAAACTTCCATATTTACAGGTTATTGGGCATCTTTGCCCAATATTGTTGACCTGTGAATTAGCAATATGAGTCTCAGAGAAAGGTAGATAATTCCTGAATACCATGTTTGGTCAAGAACCCACATCACCAGTGGATGGCTAAATGAGCAAATGTTTGTTTCATGGTCCTTGCATAATGAATACCTGTGGGTAGCTGTTTGCAAGTCACAGGCCCTGTTACAACACACAGGCTGCTTGGATTGGTTTCACCCTTCTCCATCAGCTTGGAGACTGAAATGTCGAGCTGATTTCCAAGCTTGCACATCATCTCCTACTGTCGACTTCTCACCAAACCTAAGTACCACAAATTCACTCATCAGTGGGAAAGATGATTGCCAGCAGAGATACAGCTGAGTCAGCTTTCTTTTTATAAGACATTGCTTAGATGATAAGAGAAACATTCGTAAAATGGAAGTGAGGAAAGTGTCCTTATATTTCCAGGTTTCATAGAGTATGACACAGACTGTTTTCTCCCTTTCAGATACTTTTTGTGGAGAAAATATGCATTTGACATCTTATGCTATCTCATGGTCACATGTAATTGAAATCTGGTACAACGAATCTAAATATTTCAAGTATGGGGAATGGACGTCAATGGATAATGGCATAACAATTGAGCATTATACTCAGGTAACCTGCATACTTGCAAATATACACATTGTTTAAATGACTATAAGCATGTGTGGAATATAGATGACTGAGAAAATCATTCTACCTTTTCCTGCAAACTTACACTTGACCCACTGAGTTCCTGCTATCATTTGGAACACAAGGAAGTGTGATTCCCTCAATAGCTGGCTTGGAGAAGCTGCTTAACTGCTTAGTCTCCGTTTTTACACATTTGATTTTCTGGAAATTAACAAAATCATAAAACGTCACTTATATATTACATTTTTGATATTTGTAAAGAATGAAAATAACAGTACCTTATAGTACAGAGAATCCTCTTCTTTCTAGTTTATTTTTATTGTAAAAAATTATATGTATATAATATTATTTATATACACATATATTATGTATACATACATATATGACACATAATAATTATCTATATATGCATATATAATATATGTATATATTTTATAAAATTTGTCATTTTAGTTACTTTTAAATTATGCAGCATTAATGTTCAGTAGCATTAACTGTATTCAAATTCTTATGCAGAAATCACCGCTATATATCTTCAGAACTTTTCATCTTCCCAAACTAAAGCTCTGCACCTGTTAAACAACAACTTCCCATTTCCTCTGTGTCCAGCCTCTGGCAATCACCTTTCTACTTTCTGTATCTATGGATTTGATTACTCTAGGTACCTCATATAACTAGAATCATAAAAATTTTGTCCTTTTGTGTCTGCCTTATTTCACTTAGCATTATATTCTCATTTGACATCCATCCATGTTGTAGCATGTGTCAAAGTTTTATTCCTTTTTAAGGCTGAATAATATTCCATCATATCTGTTTACCACTGGTTGTTTATCCATTCGTCCACTGATGGGTATTTAAGTTGTTTCCAATTTTGGCTGTCTAGAATAAGACTAGTATGAATATTGGAGTTCAAATATTTGTTCATATCCTGCTTTCAATTCTTTTGAGTATACACCCCTAAGTGTAGTTTCTGGATCATATGGAAATTCTATGTATAATTAATTATTTGAGGGGCTGGCATATTGTCTTCCACAATAACTGCATTATTTCACATTCCCAGCAGCAATGAAGTTTCTGGTTTTTCACATCCACACACTGTATTGGTCTGCTTGGGCTGTCATTACAAATATCACAGGCTGGATGAATTAAACAACAGAAATTATTTTCTCATAATTCTGGAGGCTGGAAGTCTGTGAATTTCTGCAGCATAGTTTGTGAGAGCTCTCTTCCTGTCTTCTTTTCACTATATCCTTGCATGGAGTTTCCTTTCCTTTCCTCTGCTAATGCTTGCAGAGAGAGGGGCGGAGTGGAGAGAGAGAGAGAAAGAGAGAAATAAAGAGAGAGTACAAGAACCAGAGCTAGCACTCGAGTGCCTCTAGTGCCTTTTCTTGTAAGGACACAAATCCTATCAGATCATGGTCCCACACTTATGACTTGTAAATTAATTCCTTAGAGATTCCATCTCTAATTAGAGCTGCTGGGTTAAATCAGGTTCTTTGGTTTCTTGTTGTTGAGTTATAAGAGTTCTTTACATATTCTAGGTATCTATCTTTTATCAGGTATAGGATTTGCAAATATTAATTCCTATTACATGGACTGCCTTTTCACTCTGATAATAATAATGCTATAATGAACAAAGATTTTTGATTTTGGTAAAGTCCAATTTATCTATTTTTTCCTTTTCTGTCTGTGCTCTTGGTGTCACATTCAAGAAATCACTGAAAAATTCAATATCATGAAGGTTTTTCTTTGTGTTTCCTTTGAAGAGTTTTTTATGATATTAACTCTTACACTTAGGTATTTGATCCATTTTGAGTTAGTTTTTTATATGGTATAAGGTACTGTCCATTTGCTTGTGTGTGGATATCTAGTTTTTTCCCACTTTTTTTGTCCCCCTTGAATGGTCTTGGCACCCTTCTTGAAAATCATTAGAACATACATGTGAAGATCTATATGTGGAATCTCTATTTCAGTTCATAGGTTTATCTGTCTATTGTTATGTAAGTGCCACTGCTTGTAGTAAGGTTTGATAATGGCAAATATAAGACTTCCAGCTTTGTTCTGCTTTTCAAGACTATCTGCCTATTTAAAATCATAGACTTAATCACTTATAGATAACAATGCAGAAATTCTAAATAAATGATTAGCAAGTAGAATTCTTATTTTAAGATTGATACCCTTGTACAAAAAGGGTATGTGCTAGGAATTCAAGAATGTTATAACATTAGACTATGTATTCATATAATTTACCTTATGAACAGAGGATAAAAATAAAATGGTCACCCCGAGAGCTAAAAATCTGACAAATTTGTGACATCAATTCCTACCTTCTATTTCTTTCAGATAAAGGTAGACTAGACCCACTATTTACATCATAAGACCTTTAGTTACATCATACTCAGATAATAATATTTCCTCTTCCAAACACTTAAAAATTTTATTGTTCAATACCCACTATACACCTATGATGTAGAAAATGATATTATTATATCCCACTTTAAAAACAAAAAATTTCAAGATATAAATCAAATTGGTAAATACCATACAGCCAGAAAGTGGTAGAGATAGAATTTGAACTTGAGTCATTTTGCTTCAAAGGCCAATTCATAACTCTACACTATGCCTTTTCCCTGGTGATTAAGTAAATTTCCTCCTATGCTTTGATTTTGTTTAATCTTTATTTATTTTTGAGAGAGGGAGAGAGAGACAGAGCATGAGCAGGAGAGGGGCAGAGAGAGAGACACACACACACACACACACACACACACACAGAATCTGAAGCAGGCTCCAGGCTCTGAGCTGTCAGCACAGAGCTCGACGCGGTGCTCAAACCCACGAACTGAGATCATGACCTAAGCTGAAGTCAGATGCTCAACCGACTGAGCCACCCAGACACCCCTGATTTTGTACATAACCACCAAGCAGTCTTCATCATGTTATCTGATTGTCCACATAGATTTGATAAGGGAATGAGCCAGGATTAGGGATGGCCACTAAGTGTGCATATGCATGTTTGTTGTCCAGACACATGGAAATCTTGCTATTTCTATGAATTCCTAATAAGTCATGCTCAAAGAATACTGGAAGCAAACATGTTTATTTTAAGCCATGGGTAACAATATACGTATTTTAATCATTTAGCAAAACATCAAATTATTAATTAAAAACATCTCTTTGTCTTTACAGGTAGTTTGGGCCACTTCTTACCTCATTGGGTGTGGAATCTCATCATGCCCCAAAAGAATGTCAACTCAGTATCTCTATGTTTGTCACTATTGTCATGAGTATGTATTATACAGCTTTGTTTCACATAGCTGTTAGAAATATATCCTCCTTACATAATCCAGTTTCTCAAACATTACATAAGAAAACACAAATATTTCACTTCAGTTAAGCAGAACTTTAGGGATAAAATGTCATTTAGCCAATACCTAAAATATCACACATGTATTTTTATTTATATCATATTCATTTTACAGTTTATTTATTTATTTTGAGTGAGAGAGAGAATGTGCACAAGTTGAGGAGGGACCAAAGTCATGGGAGAGAGAGAGAATCCCAAAAAGCCTGCACTGTCAGGCAGAGACTGATGGGGGGGTTCAAACTCACGAACTATAAGATCATGACCTAAGCTGAAATCAAGAGTCAGATACTTAACTGACTGAGTCACCCAGATGCCCCTATATCATATTTTTTAAATGAATTTATATCTCATTAGTAGAATGTCCAAAATCAAAGCTATTACCAGTAGTCTTGTTATGTGTTATTGATTAGCATAAGCAAAGAAACAATATTTACTTAAGCAATTCAAGAGTATATTTAGAATGCAAGGGCAGAAATATAGTGGAATATCAAGAGTAAACAAACAAAAATTGAAGTGTTCTCATGGTTAGCTTTTTAGTCTCTCAGTATATGTCTTTTCTTTAGAAATTAAATTTCCATGTTATCATGGTATGAGTACAATTCCCACAAGAGATAATATGATTGCTTCAGTGAAGAATAAGTGGACTCCTTTACCCTATCAACTGTGGTTAGAGAGTAAAATCAGTTTCAGACAATGATTGCAGAATCCCATAAGGGCACACTGTATGGCTCCAGTGGTAATTATGAAAAATTAGAGACTGTTCAGAACAGGATATATTCCCCCAATAGTTTACCACAAATATCTGTTTACATGATGTTTAACTGTTATCCCTCATTTTTGTTGCAAAATAAAAGATGTTCAATATAAATCAGCAAAAACTATTTATCTGGTAATATGCTACCATATTCATACTTCAAATGAGGTCTCCAATATCAGTATAGATTCAATAGATATATTCATATAATAGCTCTATATGAGTTATTTTGTGGTCTTGTCATTTCTTGATTTCAGTAGTTAATATTTGTTATGATTCTATCTATGTAATTAGTATTGAAGGCAGTAAGATCTCTTTGCATCTACAACACATAAATTGTACTAAATCTTTGCTGGGGCTGGTGGTCTCTAGTGAATTTCTGACAATACACAAAAGTAAAACATACAGAGATGTGGTAGGATAATTTTCTATGGCAAAGATTAGCCCAACTGTCTGACAAAAATCCCTTCTTAAATTAAGTAATAATATTCTTTTATAAAGTGAAATTTAGGTGTGCTTAGAGGGCTCAGTTGGTAGAGCATGAGACTCTTGATCTCAAGGTCATGAGTTCAAGTACTACATTGGGAATAAAGCTTAGTTTAAAAAAAAGTAAGAGGAAATAAAGTGAAATTCTAACAATTCAGATATCAAAGGGGGAAATTATCAAATAGAATGCTGAACATTTATTTTATTTTCCAAGCATATTAAGAATTGGCTATCATCCACATTGTTTTGTTTTTTGTTGTTTTTTTTTTTTTTAGATGTCTGCAGGTAAGACTGTCTTCTCTGAATTTCATATTAGCTTAGAACTAGAGACTCTCTCTACTCTCTCTCCCCCAAATCTGTCACTTTAGATTTAGCCATACTGAGGGACTTTCATCTTTTACAATGCTCCCTGTGTTTCTACACAAGCAGCAACATGTATCAAGTTTTTCATGACATCGTGCAAGATGAAGTTAGAACATCTCCAATTAGACTCAAAATTTTCTTAACATCCTCTTTTACATGACTATTCACCAAGTCCTTATGAGTATAAATAAAGAAAAATGACCTATTATAAGTGATTCTAAAGCTCTTCTGCTTGGTAAGATTTGACTGTTCATAGGCCCCAATCCTGTTAGAACTTGACTGTCCAAATAGGTGTAAATTGTCTGAAAACATTCTTGGGACCCCACAGTTACCTGTTATACATTCAAAAAGATAAATTTTCATCATTGTAAATCTAGAAATCTTAAACCGATCTTAAATATTATAATCATTATCTAGAAGTGGTTTTCAAAAACTGTTTTCAAAGTTTGTTATAAAAGTAAGTAAACTTTTATATGCATTGTTCAAACATCAATTTTATTACATCAATTTTTTCTTTATTCTGTTTTTAAGGGGCAATGATCTTGCCAAAAGGAATGAACCTTATAATGTGGGAGATCCATGTGAAGACTGTCCAAATGACTGTGAAAATAAACTTTGTAGTAAGTTTTACATTCAGTTTGCTTAATGTAGACTGTTGACCCAGGAGCCATGTGTCCTTAAAATTAAGCATTTGACAATATTGCACTTTTCTATAACTTTTATCTGAACCATCTCACAGGAAAGATCAATATTCCCAAAGATCACTCTCCCAGAGTGACCAAGAAGATGATTGATTAAATCTATTGGAATGGAAATTAGAATGTCTAGGCCTAAACTCAAGTTCCCACCCTAAAGTTAATGACCCTAATAGGGGAAACCTGGATAAGATGTAAATAGAAGTATAAATTTTTCTGTGATCTATAAAAAAGTTTCTGGGTTCTCTCATTGCAGCCTTGGAATTAGACATACTCTTTCAGGATACCAGCACTCTCAGCTTTCTTGCTACTCCATAACTCCCCTACCTGCCTGACCACTTATTAGGGCAGGTAATTTCTTACTGAGTGATCTTTATTCTTCTATGTTCCTACTGACACATCAGAACATATTAGACGATAGTCACACTGTCCCCTTACAATACTTCCTTTTCTTTCTTTTTTTTTTTAAAAAATTTTTAATGTTTATTTATTTATTTTTTTTAGAAAGAGAGAGAGAGATGGAGCATGAACAGGGAGAGGGGCAGAGACAGGGAGACACAGAATCTGAAGCAGTCTCCAGGCTCTAGCTGTCACCACAGAGCCAAATGCAGGGCTCGAACTTGTGAACCACAAGATCATGACCTGAGCCGAAGTTGGCCACTTAACCAACTGAGCCACCCAGGTGCCCCTACTTCCTTTTAATTCTTAAATAAACCTTACCTACAACGTGGTATTCACTAAATGGCATCCAATTAGATAGCAAAAGTTCCTTTAGATGGCAAAGTTCCTTTTTCTAGAGCCTTCTGAAAACAATTCCTTAATCCCTGAGGATAATGTTAAGAAAATTTTCAATAAGTTCATAGAGAAATAACTAACCCAGAAAAAAAAAATCTTTTAAGTTCAGACTTGGAAAGCCAGAAGACTTATTTTCCTACACCTGACCAAGTCATTCTGTTTACTTTTATTAATTTTTTTAAAGTTAATTTATTTATTTTGAGAGAAAGAGAGAGTGTGTGAGCAGGGGAGGGACAGAGAGAAGGTGAGAGAGAGAATCCCAATCAGACTCCGCACTGTCAGCACAGAGCCTGACATAGGGCTAAAACTCATAAACCATGAGATCATGACCTGAGCAGAAACCAAGAGTCAGACGCTTAACCAACTGAGCCACATAGGTGCCCCTATTTACTTTTAAAGTAAGGAAAATGGATTCTTTTTATCTTTCTCAAATTCTCTCTCTCTCTTGATAGATAGATAGATAGATAGATAGATATTCTCTTTCTCCTTTTCCTTTATTCTTTCTTTTTCTTCCTTTTGTCTCACTTTCAACTTCACTTTTTACACCACATTTCTAGAAAGAAATGTTGTTTGTGAAAGAAAATATCTACTAATTATCTATGTTTGCTGAATGGGGTACATTTTCTTAATCCAAAATATAAAAGCAATGTCTATAGTGGAAAAAAAAATGTCAGAGAAGTAAAATGAGAGTAGAAAAGAGAAACTATTACTTAAGAAGGTTAAATCTATGACACAGAAGATGCATATCTTAAACCCTTTGATCACCTACAGATGCATGAGAATATATGAAATATTGAAGAAAGATAGATATCTAAAATTGGGCCACCCTGGAATGAAAACAAGCCTAAAAATATAAAGACCTGGATATGTAGGTATAATCAACTTAGTGTAATCAAATAAATTTTATAAAAGCAAAATTCATGCTTATAAAATAGGGAAGTTATATAAATTAATATAGTGTATATAACAGTAGTAAAAGCAGTTAGTTCTAAGAGGGAAATTCATAACAATAAATACCTCTATTAACAACAGCTAAAAAAGAGCTCAAAACAACTTTACTTTATTCCTCAATTACAGAAAAAACAAACTAAGCTCAAAGTCAGCAGAAGGAAGAAAATAACAAAAATCAGAGTAGTAATAAATAAAATAGAGACCAAAAAGACAATGGAAAAGATCAATGAAAGAGCTGTTTTGTTAAAGATAACCCAGAAAAATCTTTAGCTTTAGTCACACAGAAGAAGAAGAAGAAGAAGAAGAAGAAGAAGAAGAAGAAGAAGAAGGAGGAGGAGGAGGAAGGGGAGGAGGGGGAGGAGGAGGAAGGAAAAGAAGAAAATAGAGGACTCAAATAATTAAAAATAGAAATTAAAGAAGAGACATTATAACTGAGACATTATAAATTAGAGACATTATAAATTAGAGACATTATAAAGAAGAGACATATACCACACAAACCAAAAAGAACATAAGAATGCTATGCACAACTGTATGGCAACAAATTAAACAACTAATTTGAAGAAATGGATAAATTCCCAGAAACATACAACTTACAAAGACTAAATTATGAATAAATAAACATGACCCCACCAAGACTGAATGACAGAATAATTATATTCTGTGAATATAATTATGTTCTATGAATAAGTAGAAACTGTGAACAAAGTACTAGGAAGAAGATTGAATCAATAATAAAAAACCTCCCAACTTAGAAAAGCTAGAGACCAGATGTCTTTACCAGTGAATTCTACCAAACATTTAAATAACTAATACCAATACTTCTAAAACTCTTCCAAACTCATTTTATGAGGCTACCATTACCATGATACTAATATCAGGTGACAACACTGCAGTAAAAAAAAAAAAAAAAAAAAAAAAAAAAAAAAAAAAAAAAAAAAAAAAAAAAAAAAAAAAAAATTACAGTCCAATATATCTGATGAACATAGATGCAAAAAGAGCAACAAACTTTAGCAAAACAATTGCAACAATACACTGAAAATATCATACACCACAATCAAGTGGAGTTTATTCTATGGATTCAAGAATGGCTCACCATCCACAAATCAGACAATGTGATATACCACACCAAAAAATGAAAAATAAAAATCATATAGCCATCTCAATAGATGCAAAAAAAGCATTTGACAAAATTTGACATTCTTTCATGATAAAAACTCTCAAACTGGGTATACAGGGAACTTACCTCGACATTATAAAGGCTAGATATGACAAGCCCACAAAAAGTATTATATTCATTGGTGAAAAGTTTTTCCTCTAAGACCATGAATAAGAGAAGAATGAATACTCTTACCACTTTAACTCAACATAGTACTGGAAGTCCTAATCAGAGTAATTTGGCAAGAAAACAAATACAAATAATTAAAATCAGAAAGCAGAAGTTAAACATTTGATGACATGACAGTATGTATAGAAAACCAGAAAGACTCCACCAGAAAACTGTTGAAATTAATAAGTGAATTCATTAAAATTGCAGAATACAAAATCAATATACAAAAATCCATTATTTTAAGTACACTACCAACAAACTATCAGAAAAAGAAATTTAAAAAAAACAATTGCATCAAAAAGAAAAAACACCTAAGAATAAATTTAATCAAGGAGATGAAAGATCTATATATCAAAAATTTTAAGACATTGATGAAATATATTGAAAAAGGTACAAATAAATAGAAATATATTCCATGTTCATGGATTAGAAGAATTAATATATTTTTTAAATTTCCATACGACCCAAAGCTACCTATAGATTCAGTGCAATTCTTACCAAAATCCCAATGGTATTTTTTTAAGTTTATTTATTTTGAGAGAGAGAGAGAATGAGGGAGAAAGAGAGAGAGAGCATGCATAGGGGTGGGGCAGAGAGAGAGGGAGAGAGAGAGAATCCCAGGCAGGGTCCTCAACACTGTCAGCACAGAGCTGAATGTGGGGCTCAAACCCACGAACTGTGAGATCATGACCTGAGCCAAAATGTGTTGCTTAACTGACTGAGCCACCCAGGTGCCCCTTCAATGGTATTTTTCATAGAATTAGAACAAATAATCCTAAAACTTATATGAAACCACAAAAGACTCCAACTAGCCAAAGCAATCTTGAGACAAAAGAATAAAGCTATTGGTATCAAACTCCCTGGTGTCAAACTATATTACAAAGCTACATATAGTAATCGAAACAGCATGGTATTAGTATAAAAACTGACACATAGATCAATGCAACAGAATGGAGAGCCCAGGAATAATCCAACTCATACATGGTTGATTAATTTACAACAAAAAAGCCAAATACATGCAAAGGGAGCAGACAATCTCTTCAATAAATGGTGTTGGGAAAACTAGGCAGTCATAGGCAAAAGAATGGAACAGGACCCATATATTACACTGAACACAAAAATCAACTCAAAATGGATTAAAGATTTGAACATTAAACCTGAAACCATAAAACTCCTAGAAGAAAACATGGGGGCAAACTCCTCAACATCAATCTTGGTGATGATTGTTCGGATTTGACACTGAAAGCGAAAATAACAAAAGCAAAAATAAACAACTGGGACTGCATCAAACTAAAAAGCTTCTGCAAAACAAGGAAATGCATTAACAAAATGAAAATACAACCTATTGAATGGGGGAAAAACTTGCAAATCATATGTCTGATAGGAAGTTAATCTCCAAAATATATAAAGAAATTAGAAAGCTAAATTAAAAAATCCAATTAAAACATTGGCAGAGGAACTAAATTGACATTTTTCCAAAGATGTCCATATGGCCAACAGGTACATGAAAAAGTATTTAACATCACATCATTTCCCCAGGGAAATGCAGGGATATAATGCATACCTGTTAGAATGGCTCTCATAAAAAAGACAAGAGATAATAAATGTTGGCAAGGGTGTGGCAAATAACAAACCGTTCTGTGCAGTTAAAGGGAATGTAAATGGGTGTAGTCACTATGGCAAATGGTATGGAGGCTCCTCAAAATATTAAAAAGTATAATTAACATATGATCTAGCAATTCTACTTCTGGATATTTATCTAAAAGAAACCAAAAACATTAACTCAAGAAGATATTTACACCTCTATGTTCTTTGAAGCATTACCTATAATAGCTAAGGCATGGAAACAACCTAAGTGTCCATTGACAGATGAATGGATAGAGAAAATATGGTGTGTGTGTGTATATACATATATATATATACACATATATCTGTATATATGTGTACATATATACAGATATATGTATATATGTGTACATATGTATATATGTATGTGTATGTATATATATATTCTCTGTATATAGTGTAGTATATACTATGTATAGTATACTGTGTATCTTTGTGTGTGTGTGTGTGTGTGTGTGTGTGTGTGTATACACTATGTATACTGTTCAGCTATAAAACAAATGGAAGTCTTATCATTTACAGCAACAGGGATGGATCTTGAAGGCATATTCTAAGTGAATAAGTCAGATATAGAAAGACAAATACCATATGATCTCACTTACATGTGGAATCTATAAAACCAAACACACAGTTACAGAGAAAAGATTGGTGATTTCCAGAGGCCTTGGACATGTGGGGTGTGGATAATTTCATTTATGTGTTTGAGAAGTTTATCTGTTTCTTCAGTGATGGTGAATGTTTGAGATAATACGGTGTAAACATGCTTTGTCCTTCCAGCTAACCCCTGCCTCTACTATGATGAATACAATAACTGTAAGACACAAAAACGTAGTTTTGGATGCAGCCGCCAGTGGGTTCAACAGTTCTGCAAAGCTAGTTGTCTGTGTGACACGGAGATAAAATAATATATTTGCAAGTATAACGTGCTGTTAGAAAATGTCTGCTGGATTACACCTTCTACCTTACTTTGCTTCTGTAGCTTTTGCTGAGTTTCATTTGGTTTTAATTACATGTGAGACCCTAATTTTTACTGAGCACATACAGGCATCAGTAGATTTACATCAATGCCACCCACTCCTGTCCTGATCCAACACTGGTTTAATGTTCCTTACTACAGAAGTGAAGCGTCCAGCCCAACACCTGCCCCACGTTTAAATCATGTGACCTGTAGTTCTCAGGTTGACAAAATTCAACTCATGGTATAACTGGCCCCTTGACAATAACTTTGTCTTTTTGCTATTAACTCCTTCCCCTGCTACCTCCTCGATGTTTGTCTTTCCTGCCCAACTAACATGCACTGTAATTCTTTATATCTTAACTTTACTTCTATTTTAAATTGATGATTAAAATAATTCACAAAGCAATCAAAGAGTCCAGTCTTATTACTTACAAGACAAATTGCTTAATTGGAAGTGATTTAAATGTCTTATTGTTTGATATCTACATTTGTAAAGCAGGGGTGGAATTGTTTTCCTTAATTTAACAAAATACATATTCAGCACTGATTATATACAAAATATAATACAACTATAGAAGATATTGTCTCCCTTATTTCAAATGCAGACATAAATATTAGTGAATCTCCACACTAAAGAAACCTGCTAAAGTGTATGACCACACAGAGATCCCAGCACCTGGTGTTTTGTTTTCAGTTTCAGTTTGTTCTTTTTTCCCCCCATAGATATGATCTTTCTTTCTACAAGTTTGTATAAAAGAAAATTCTCTAGGTTTTCATCATTGGTCATATCATGTGTAAGAAAGAGGCAGTAGAAACCAAGTTACTCTGAGGATGAGAATTTTTTGTGTGATCCCCAATGAACTTCATATGCTAAATATCTATAAGGAAATGTGACACAAATTATAATGCAACTTTTTGAATACTTCCCAATATCACTCCATGACCAGAGCTTATCAGGAGTGTTTGTGCACACAGCAACACACTTACACATGGAAAGAAATCTCAGGGTAACTTCAGAGTCACTCTCATGATTGGACTCAAAAGCTGGAACACACTGTTCCATTAAAACTGCGTGTGTGTGTGTATGTGTGTGTATACGCACACACACGTGTGCACACGTAATACTGAGGCATGTCCACAAGATCTGTGAAGCAAAGCTATTAAAGAGCAGTATTGAGGACAAGTCTGATTAGGTTGTTGGATTCACAGTGGAGAGCAAATGGGCACAAAAGTTGATCTGATTACAGGGAAACCTAAAGAAAAGCCAGACTAATGACTTTTATTTGATGCCATGAGCAAAGACAACACAGCCCTGATTCTCAATTATAAGAGCTCTACGATAAAAATTGGTTCTATGCAGTTTTGTATGGAGACGTGTATAATAGAACAGTCCAAGATGTGCAGACTGACAACTGGTCCAAATTAGGGGTCACTGTGAATTTTCAAAATGTTCTCAAGGGTTAAGCAGTTTGGACAGCATTTTCATAATCATATTTTCTCTAATAGGAAAGGGCATCATTGTTCCTTCACTGGTGAGAGCCCAGAGATCCCTGGACAGTTTAGGGATCATATATCCTGAACCATTGAATAATAGTGGGGATGTGGTATGTCTCATATTCTTAGATCAGCCTGTAACTCTCTCCAATTTCCCAGTATATTAAGGAATATTTATAATATGCTGGGAGTACTTAACAAAGAATTAACAAAGATGATAAAGACTATGACAATGGGGGCACCTGGGTGGCTCAGTCGGTTAAGTGCTGACTCTTGATTTTGACTCAGGTTATGATCTCATGGTTCATGAGTTGGAGCTCCGCATGGGGCTCTGTGCTGACAGCACGGAGCCTGCTTGGATTCTGTCTCTCCCTCTCTCTGCCCCTCTCCCCACTCGTGTTTTCTTGCTCTCTCTCTCTCTCTCTCTCAAAAATAAATAGACAAACTTTTAAAAAAAGACTGTGACAATGATTTTTCTAAATTTTCAAAAAAAATCACTTAAGTTACTTTTATTTTGTATTAAAATTTATAGTTAACTATATTAGATAGTTCAGCACAGAAGCTAGATAAAAAGTCAGCAATCAAAAAAGATGTTCCAATACATAAGCAATTTCTCCACCTATGTTTTTTCTTACTAATTTATACTTTACCTACATTTGTATCTCATTGACTTTGCAATCTTTCCTTTTGAGTTTTTCATCTCAACTATTTTTTTTAATTTCCAATATTTCCAAATGATTATGATTCATAAACATTTGATCATTTACATTTTCATTGTGTATTTCTCTATAATGACATTTGTGTTTATTTCAAATGTGTATTGACTTTTTAATAATTCAGCTTCCTTTGGCAAATGCTCTGTTGTTATCTTTCTCTCACAACATCAGAAGATAACTTTGATATACTGAAAATTTCCCCATATTTGTTAGTTTGGGTAGTTAAGTCTGCAAAGATCAGATAGGGCTTTGTCTTCCATTTTTTCATGGTATGTTTGGCAGAGTTGGAAAAAGACATTAGTTCTGAGAGGCTTTATTTTACTGTCAATGGTCATCTGCTCCTTACCCTTTATCCCCCAAAATGCACACTTCCCATCCTCAAGATAACATCACTGCAGCTGTATTTTGCAACTTCTGTTCCTGGCTGCAACCCTTTTAATTAAAAAGGACTAGGGGCTGCCAGAACTGAGTATATTTGTGGTTCTAGGTTCTTGGCTCTCCACTCTACCTGCCCCCAGCAGTGTCTTAACACTGAACATTACTCTGTAATTGGCAAAGGGTGAGTAACACATATTTAGAATCTATCTCTAGGACACTCATCATTAGGGAACAAGTTTCTTCTTCCAACTTAAATTTTGCAATTTCCTTTCATTTGGCACCTTGCTGACTACTCTAATCTAAATTCTAGGCATACTTAGTACTTATTTCATCAAATTTCACACCCCTTCCAACTGCTACCCCAATTAAGCCCTTCCTTTCTCAGTCACTGGCTTGACCTTATCAGGGCATGAGGGAGAGAGAAACAATGTGACTATCCTATACAGCAGCCCATCTCCTCTTCTTGGTCTTTCAACTTCTAGAACTGAGGGCATGTCTTCGTGCCCCCTCAGAAAACAAAAGGATGCAAACATCCTACGGTCCATAAACATTGCATCCATTTTAAAACTGAAAAAAAAAAAAAAAAGGACTCTCAAAATTCCTGTCTCTTTTCTGTCATCTCCAGGGCTAGATGAGGGACAGAGAATAAGCATGTACTGTTTAGGTCTCTAATTTGTAAGAAACTTGGTGTCATCCGGCCATTTTTTGTAGTATATATATTCTTCAGAGATGTTTCTGATAAGGCTGTTAGAATGAGTTCTCCTTGTCCCCTTCATAATCTGTCTAAAAATTCTCCTTGGTCCTACATAATGCTGTATACACAAAGAAACATATTCTCATTCTTTGTCTTTCCTTTAGCTAGACCTTATCTAGACTACAACTTTCTCTCTCATTTTTATTTCTCCCTTGTGGCAATGTTATACTCAACATATTATAATGGGTGAATCCACATTTTATATCACAGTGCAAAAATTATTCAATTGGATGTAATTATTTTTAGGGATCCTGGACTCAATGCTGATGTGGGGTGGGAGGGGTGGGTCCCTCACATACAACACCAAGCAATTCTCAGACTCCATGGTGTTTGACAATTCAACTCAATTCTGATACTATCTACTTGAAGTTAGCATCAGATTCCCTATGTTAAGGGTTCAGTTCTGCAAGACTGTCTCTTTACCTCCAACATCAGATGTCAGAGGCAAGCCCTTGTCTGTTTCTTTTTTCTTTATGTTTGTTTGTTTGTTTGTTTGTTTGTTTGTTTGTTTGTTTGTTTGTTTTGAGAGAGAGAGTGAGAAAGAGAGAAAGAGAATGTGAGCAGGGGAGTGGCAGAAAATCCCAAGCAGCCTCTGTGTTGTCAGCACAAAGCCTGACATGGGGCTCAAACCCACAACCCACCAGATCAAGAGTTGAGCCAAAATCAAGAGTCAGACACTTAACCAACCTAGCCACTCAGGTGCCCCTCTTACGCACGTTTCTGATTTACAAACTACAGATTGGAGATTCCAGTGACCTTCTCCTTACCTTTGATTAATTTGCTAGAGCAGCTCATAGAACTCAGGGAAACAATGTTTCAACAGGCAGATGAAGACATACATAAGGCAAGGTGCCTGACAAAGAAGTTCCTGTTATGGAGTTTGCAGCCTGGGCTCAATGACACTCAAAAATGTCCTGGTTCCCTAAGCCTGGAAGTACTCCAAAAGAGAAAGATTAAAAAGCTTTCCCTTTTGAGTTTTTATGGAGGCTTCATTACAATGTCATGATTGTGGACATTGGCTTATTCAACCTTCAGTCCTGGTCCCTTCCCTGGAGGTCAGGACTGGGGGGAGGGTGGGAGGGGTGGGGCGGGCTGCTTTCCAAAGGTCAACATGACAGAAGACACCCTTATCACCCTCAACACTTTTTTTTTTTAAATTTTTTTTTTCAACGTTTATTTATTTTTGGGACAGAGAGAGACAGAGCATGAACGGGGGAGGGGCAGAGAGAGAGGGAGACACAGAATCGGAAACAGGCTCCAGGCTCTGAGCCATCAGCCCAGAGCCTGACGCGGGGCTCGAACTCAGGGACCGCGAGATCGTGACCTGGCTGAAGTCGGACGCTTAACCGACTGCACCACCCAGGCGCCCCTCACCCTCAACACTTTTAATATTACAAGGTTTTTGGGAACTGTGAACCAGAAACAGGGCTGAAGACCAAATATATATTTCTTATAATCTTTATAATAGATTAATACATTTCTTATAATAAATTTTAAATTTTCTTATAATAAAAGATAAACAAATAGTCGTTTAATTAGAAAGCATGCTCTACACTATGCAGGCCTTCAGAAGGTAAAGGATATATCTATGATAGTGATGGAAAG